GTCACCCATTTTGTATAATAGTTCTTGAGTTCTTTGTTTTTCAGTGATGCATAATATTCCATTGTGTGAATATACTACAGCTTCTCTATCCATTCGTTTGTTGTTGGGCACTTAGGTAGTTTCCAGCTCCTTGCTATTGTGAACAAAGAAAAATTTTATTGATTTTAAGAAATGTTTTTGTTTGTTTTGGTTAGGTTTTTGGAGCATCCACTAAACAAATTGATGTTTACCGAAGTGTTGTATGTCCAATTTTGGATGAAGTTATTATGGGCTATAATTGTACTATTTTTGCGTAAGTGACTCATCATTTTAAAATTGATGGGAAGTTTAGATAGATACATTTGTTTTTGATCATTTTTGTTAATCTTGACAGATATGGACAAACAGGCACTGGAAAAACCTTTACAATGGAAGGTGAAAGGTCACCTAATGAAGAATATACCTGGGAGGAGGTATTCTTGTTTATGTTAGATTTCCATCTCTAATAAGGACTAAATTTTATCTAAGAAAGCATAAAAGAGGGCCTTTGTCTCGAAGCAGAGTAGTATACTCATGTCAAACATGAATTTAGGATAAATAGTTGTTTTTGTAATGTACCATTTAATTGGAACTGACTCAGCTGACCCTTCAGCTGGTTTTCAGAGGCTGTAAATTGCACAGGAGGAGCAGCTGGTAGATTTGAACTGTCTACCTCTGGCAGCATAACTTGTTACCATCAAGCCATCAGTTACTTGAATAAAATGAAACTATATGCTAGCTATCTTGTATGAAACATCGGATTGTCTTTTTTTTTTTTTTTTATTAATTGTCTTGAGATAGAACCAGATAAGTGATAAGAAAAGAGAGGTCAGGACCCAAGAGTTGAAGGAGAATTTTGTGGAAATGTAAAAGATGAGTAGGGCTTGCAAAGAGAGGGCTTTGTTGTGAGGGACTGAAACTCAAAAAGCATGCTATTTTTTATAAATGATGACCTTGAGTTTTCAAGAAATTACTGAAAATAAAACCAGACCAAGCAAACTCATTGCCATCTCATTGGAACCAATTAGAACAATTCCAGCCGGTCTCGGGAGGCAGTAAACTACATGAGATCACATAACCACTGATGGATTCAGGCTGCTAGAAAGGCACTGCCTGTGGGTTAGCGTGCCACTTCCTATGAAGGCAACCAGAGTTCCCTTTAAAAATGAAGATCAATGTATTACTTAGTAGGGAGCTCTGAGACGACAGAGAAAGATGACTTCCCAGAAATCTGCTGGCAGGTCAGCTATGAGTTGGTTCTGATTCTATGGCAATAAATTTTGTTTTAATAATATTTAATGTGGAAAACATATAATATGTTTTACAGATTTCCACCCTAGTGTGTTTAAATTTAAATGAGATTAAAGACTGTGTTGATTTTCTAAATGATTAACATTTAGGTAGAACCTCCCTCTATCTCCAGTATTTACACAGTTGAGGCATTTACTTACTTTAATAATGAATAATAAGACTATAGAAAACAATAACACACACAAAAAAAAAAAAGAAAACAATAACACAAAGGAACTGTCATAGATGGAAGGCACAGTTTCAGAATTTAGAGATACATAACAGTTCTATTAAGGACACTGTGTATTTGAGAAATAGATTTGCTTATGTATTAACATACGTACTGTTTAGGTGGGCCATTCTAATCATTCTTTGATGGAAAAATGGAAAGGATTATTGAATTTGACTTTGTAAGTAATATTCAATTTTTTGCCGCATAATGCTCAGAAAGCTGGCTGACAGTTATTTGTAGATTTGTGGCAGGTGGAAAAAGGAATACTTGCTGTTGAAGATTGTAAACGATTGGCTTTGTTCATAGGCAGGCATTTTTGTTTTTTTTGCATATTGTTACTAGTTTCTTAACTATTCCAGTAAATGAAATTCTTCCTTTATTTTAATTCTTCTTAATAATTTCAGGATCCCTTGGCTGGTATAATTCCACGAACTCTACATCAAATTTTTGAGAAACTTACTGATAATGGTACTGAATTTTCAGTCAAAGTTTCTCTGTTGGAGATCTATAATGAAGAACTTTTTGATCTCCTTAGTCCATCATCTGATGTTTCTGAGAGACTACAAATGTTTGATGATCCCCGTTACAAGGTAACTTAGTTTTTGATGAAATATTTCTAAATTTCAATGTTAGAATACTCTTTTAATAGTCAGAATATGGATTTATTTTAACCAATCTAATGGATGCTTTTTGATATTTGGTTAGAGGGGAGTGATAATCAAAGGTTTAGAAGAAATTACAGTGCACAACAAGGATGAAGTGTATCAAATTTTAGAGAAGGGGGCCGCCAAAAGGAAAACTGCAGCAACGCTGATGAATGCATATTCTAGGTAAGAAAGCCATTTTCTTCTTCCAAATCCATTTTCTTTTTAAGAACTAGAAACTTGAATAAAATTAAATTGGAGTTGATGTCGTTATGTGCTGTTGAGTTGCTTGTGACTCATAGTGACCCTAGGTACAACAGCTCTAAACCCTGCTCTATCCCTTGCCAATTTCACTGTCTCTGACACGCCTATCCCCATTACCCCAGTGATGGAATCAATCCATCTCATTGAGGGTCTTCCTCTCTTGTGTTGTCCCTCCACCCTCCCAAACATGACGGCCCTCCTTGCAACATACCCAAAGTATGTCGGACAAAGCTTCAGAATCTTTGCCTCCAAGGAGTACCCTGGCTTCACCCTCTCCAGGACAAACTTGTTTGTTGTCCTACCAGTCCATGGTATATTCAGTACTCTTTTGCAGCACCACAGCTCAAAAGCATCAATTCTCCTTCTATCATTCCTACTCATTGTCCAGCTTTCCCTACTCATTGTACAGCATAGCAAGTAATTGCAAAGACCATGCCTGTATTAGGCACAGTTTAGTCTCCAGACTGAAATTGTTGCTCCTCAGTACTTTGGAGAAGTCCCTGAGAGCAGACTTTACCAGGGCAATTTGGTTTTTAATTTCCTGGCTGTTGGTACCAAGACTGTTGATTGTAGAGCCAAGCAATCTAAAGCTGTCAACAATCTCACTCTCTTCACTCTCTATCATGATGCTGCCAATCGGCCCAGTGACGAGAATCTGTTTTCTTGACATTGAGTTTCAATCCCTATTGAAGACTACACTCTTTGACCTTCTTCAGCAAGTGCTTCAGGTTCTCCTCAATTTCAGCAAGCAGGGTTGTGTCACCTGCATAACGTAGGTTGTTGATGACTCTTCTCCAAACCTGATGCCACACTTCTCATAGAGCCCAGCTTTCCGGAATCTGTTCCGCATACAGATTGAAAAGAGATGGAGATAGGATACATCCTTGATGCACACTCTTCCCAATTTTGAACCATGCAGTGATTCCTTGCTCTGTTCTGATGACTGCCTCCTGGTCCAAGTATGTTTTACGTAAGCAAAGGGAATGGGATTCCCATTCCTTTCAAAAGTCAGCCACAGTTTATTGTGATCCACACAGTCAAATGCCTTTGAGTAGTCAATGAAACATAGATAGACATTCCTCTGGTACTCCTTACTTTTAGCCAAGATCCATATGACATTAGCTATAATCTCGCTAGTGCCATAGTCTCTTCTAAATGCAGCCTGCACTTCAGGCAGTTCTCTGTTGATGTGTTGTTCTAGTTGTTTTTGGATGATCTTCAGCAGAATCTTGCTTGCATGTGATATCAATGATATTATTTGATAATTTTCACACTCTGTTGGATCACCTTTCTTTGGAATAGGAACAAATATAGATCTCTTCCAGTCACTAGGCCAGGTGGTTGTCCTCCGGATTTCTTGGCACAACTTGTTGAGCACTCTAAATTGGAGTAGATTAAGATATATGGATGGTATACTTGGATTTTGTGCTATAAAGAAGGGACTTTGCTAACTGAAAAATTTGAGATTTATAGGAAAAGTGCTGCTATTAGGAGAAGGTTGGAAGGAGGATGAGGACAAGTTGAACTAGAGACGTAATAACTTATATGAATATCAGAAGCAAGGTAGTGAACTTACCTGATCATCAAGTTCCCTGAACTAAAACAATAAAAACTGACCTATTAATTTCGTTCCTTATAATAATTAACAATTTCTACAATCGATTTTAACATTTATAATTGCAACTATGTAAAATATATTTGCATTTAAAGAAAGGGAAATAATGTAGCGCGACATAAACATAGTTAAGCTAATGGAATTGTGGGTGATTTCACATTTTTAATTATATTTTCCTCTATTGGCTTTTTAGTAAAAGGAAATTTCATCAATTTGTAACTTAATCTGCCATAGAATTTAGAAGAAAGAATGGATGACTGTAAAATTTCTTTCTCGCATATATAAAATTCCCATTATTGCTAGGTTGGTCTAATTAAGGACTTCCTATTTCTAATATGCAGACTACAGCAAAGCTTTCATTTTATGAATTTATGTGATAAAAACAAAAATTAATTCAGATTTCCAAAGCCAGAATTTCTTTCCATGTTTAATTACCTTCATTCTATAATTCCAAATTAGGAATGGGTAAATGATGATTGAAAAAGAAATTGTTGTTAGGTGCTGTATAGAGTTGAGTACTCCTCATAGTGACCCTGTGAACAAATCTGGAGCCTGTCATATCCTGTGCCATCTTCATTATTTCTGAGGCTCATCTTAGCCCATTGCTATAGTCACTGTATCAGTCCATCAGTCTTCCTCTCTTTTGCTGATCCACACCCTTTCCAAGCATGATGGCCTTTTCCAAGGATAGCCTTTCCAAGGTCTTACATGCGTGGTATTTTGTCTTCTTTGTATCCAAGAAGCCCTCTGGCTGTACTATCCAGGCCATCTCTGTTTGTTCTCTTGGCACTCCATCAATTCTTCTGACATCTTATTCATTGTCCAGCTCTCATATGCATAGAAGGTGATTGAAAAGACCAGGTACACATTACTCTTCAAACTGATATCCTTGCTCCTGAATACTTTGGAGAGGTCTTTGATTGCAAATTTGCCCAATGCAGTATGTCTCCTGATCTCCAGATTGCTGGTACCATAGGTGTTGATTGTGGATCCAAGTAAGATGAGGTTGTTGTTAATTTCAGTCTTTTCTCCGTCTATCATGATTGTCCTGGTGGTGAGAATTTTTGATGTTGATAATATACTTAAAATAGTTTTATTATGAATAGAATTCAGTGCAAATTAATTTTGATTAGATCCTCAGACCACAAGTCTTCTGTCACAGCCAAGGAATTGCCCCACCCCTACCCTACATTGAGCTGTAAAGGGTACTGAGAATTGTATATATCTTGAGTCTTTCTGTGTTTTACAAAGTTTTCAATTGATCCTTACTGGAGTCTCCCCTGAAAAGTGTCAAATTTAAGAAAGCAAAAACTTTATCTATTTTTCGATGTCTTACTGGTATTTTGTTTGTTTGGGTTTAGATCTTTATTGTTTTGAATATTGTATTGAAAGCAAGTGGTGACTTGGTAACATAATCTTGTTTTCTAGTCGTTCACACTCCGTTTTCTCTGTTACAATACATATGAAAGAAATTACGATTGATGGAGAGGAGCTTGTTAAAATTGGAAAGTTAAACTTGGTAAGCATCTGCCTCAATGTCCTCATTTCATTCTTGGCCATTCATAGAGCAGATAGAAATTTTTTACCTCTGAGTAATGTTCTATATTCATTGTGGTGTTAGCTTTGTAGTAGGAAAAGAAATTTGTTAATTATAGAGAAATTATTTTGCTGACTCTTAATACACTGAGAAAGAAATTTCCTCTTGGAATTGTGGTTGTCCTTTCAGCCTAATATTTTGTTGAATCTTTAATACTGTATATATCTCATATATCTAATATGAGTAAGTTTTCAAGTCCAGTAGACGTAATAACTTAATTTTGTTCTTAAATTAAAGGTTGATCTTGCAGGAAGTGAAAACATTGGCCGTTCTGGAGCAGTTGACAAGAGAGCTCGGGAAGCTGGAAATATCAATCAATCTCTCTTGACTTTGGGAAGGGTTATTACTGCTCTTGTAGAAAGAACACCCCATGTTCCTTATCGAGAATCTAAACTAACTAGAATTCTTCAAGATTCTCTTGGAGGACGTACAAGAACTTCTATAATTGCAACAATCTCTCCTGCCTCCACCAATCTTGAGGTAAGCCCATTCACTGAAAAATATGTCCAAGTGTAATAGCTTTAATTCTTATTTAGCTATTATATTGCTTAAAATGTCCATTCACACGCTTTTTTGGTGCTATGCTATATTCTAAACAAATCTAGACATTTCCCTCTTGTATATAGACGAGAATACCAATGAAAAATATTTTCTCTTTTCTGGCAGTTTTTAACCTTAAAAAAACAGCTAATGGCTTTTCCCACCATCTTGAAAGTCAATTGTTATGCTTGTTAGTGGTATAGAGATTTAACTGAGATTTTAGAAATGAGTTGACTTGGATGCTATTGTTTTATGAACAAAATGTTGTGCAGACTGCTAGGGAGAATTGAAGGTGGGGCTAAATATGTGAGAAAAGATGGAAAAACTGAGAAATGTGATAAAACATACTTTTTCTAATACTGTGATTTGAATGAAAATCTACAATGTGCCAACTGAGTTTTCACTCAGCTATTTATACACATTTTTGTTTTATAGTATCAGTTACAATATCAACAATGTAATTATACTTTCCTCGCTTCCTCCATGTAATTCTCATTTCCATTAATCCTTCTATCCTACCCCTCCCTCTCTTCTGGGCTTTATCCTTGGGCAAATGCTATGCATTTGGCCATTTATGGTTGGTTTCTCTAGAGAGCGAATGCCTCCTGGTGTTATTGGTTACCTTGGAAACCTATCATTGTGCTGAAAATTGAGCCACAAGGATGAGTTTGGTTCTGGGTTCAAAGGATGATTAACAGTCATAGTCTATATTAGACTAGTAAGCCAGGGCTGATAAAACTTATTTTATTATCGTTACCTACTTTAGAGTTAGAAAAGGTTGTAAAAGGATCTAGCTCCCTAGTTATTTTTTTAACATCTTTATTGAGATATAAGGGTGGTATAGTACAAGTGAGTTATGGTTCTCATCGTTCTGGTGATTTGAATCCACCAGCCACTCCTCAGAGAAGGTTGGTCAGTCTTCTCTTGTGTAATTTACAGTCTTAGAAATCAGGGAGCTCTGGTGGCCTAGTGGCCAGAAGCTGCACTGCAATCCCAGAGGTATGTAGTTCAAATCCACCAGATGCTTCTGTTGGAGAAGGAGGGACAATCTCCTCCTGTACCAGTCAGATCTGATTTGATGGTACACACACAAAAATAATAAAATAAATTAAAAAAAATCAGCTGGAGGTTGAGCTGTGAGTCAGAACCAACCTAATAGCAATGAGAAAGGGAGAGAAATTAGGAACAATTTGTGTAATAGATCTCACCCACTTCAGTGGTTTTTGTACAGTCAAGTCATTCTGCAGCCATCATTGATTGCCGAATATTTCATCAACCTAGAAAGAAACCATGTGCCCATTAGCAATCATGCAGCATTTAACTGACTCTTCTCCAGCCCTTAGCAACCATTAATCTACTGTCTATCTCTCTGTGTTGCTATCATGTAGCATTGAGTCGGAACCCACTCATAGCTGACTCTGGTGGAATTTTAGAAGCAGTAAATTACACACAGGAGGACCCTGACTGCCTGTCTTTTTCCTTTGAGCAGTTGATGAATTCAGATCACTTGCCTTTGAGCTGGCAGTGCAACTCCTTACCATTAGCCACCAGAGCTCTGTGTCTCTATAGATATGTCTATTCTGAAGATTTAATATAAATGAAATCATATGTTCTGTTGACTTTTGTCACTACTTTCATGTAGCATAATGTGGTTTTTTTTTCTTTTGCATTAACAATTTTTTAAAAATAATTTAAATGAGCATTTACAGAGATTTTGGATTTCCATTCATTGCTGCACTTCTCCCCCCTCCCCAGCCCCCCCCGTCCCCGAGTTTGCTCCTCTCATTCAAAAGTAAAAGAAACACTCCTTCCCTGGGACACAGTCCCCCCACACTCCTCCTGCCACCCCAAGTACATTCCACTATGCAACCTTAATTGTGGACTCTTGTGATAACCATAATACCCTATCATACATTGCTTTTAAATTATTCACTCCCTCATCTGTTTCAGTGCAGTATACACAATTTATCCAGTTTTTCTCAGTCTTACCCCAACCCTGATATTAGTCCCATTTTACAACAGTGGCACCATGCAATATTTGTCCTTTTGCGACTGAGATATTTCACTCAGCATAATGTCCTCCAGGGTCACCCATTTTGAATAATATTGCATGAGTTCCTTGTTTTTCAATGCAGCATAGTATTCCATTGTGTGAATATACCACAGCTTCTCTATCCATTCGTTCATTGATGGGCACTTGGGTTGTTTCCAACTCCTTGCTATTGTGAACAGAGCTGTGATAAACATGGGTGTGCATATCTCTGCTTGGATGTCAGTTATGGCCTCTTTGAGATATATTCCCAGTAGTGGAATTGCTGGGTCAAATGGTATCTCTATTTGCAACTTTTTGAGAAAGCGCCATACCGCCTTCCACAGTGGTTGCACTAGCATAATGTTTTTAAGGTTAATCCATGTTGCAGCATGGATTAGTACTTTATTCTTCTTTATGGCCAAATAATATTCCATTGTATTTAGAACCAAATAATATTTACCTGTGCATTCATTGGTTGATGAAATGCATTGAGTTTTAAGTCTAATCTAAATGAAAAGTAAAATTAGATTGAATTGTAAGATTAGAGTCCCTAAAAACTGTGGGGGTGGGAGGAAGGGAAAACTAGATACTCTTTTTTTAATATTTTCTTGTGATTTGTTCAAAATTTAGAGTCAATCAGTTTGCCATTCAATAATTTATACATACTGTGTTTTATGATATTTGTTGCAATCCTCATAATAGTACACTTTGCATTTCCTTTCTGGGTTCTCCATCCTATTTTGCCATCTTTCCTGCCCTTCTTGCTTTTGAATTTTGTTTTGGGGCAATATAAGTATCTTTTCAAGTACCTTTTTTGTAAAGTTTGGGTATAGTAGTCATAATGAGTAGGTTTTTAAACTAGATGTTAGTGTAAGTTATTATAAGTTATTATGTACTATAGATAATGTTACTATAATACTCAGTAATTTTAGTGTTTGACCTGCTTTACCATGACAGGAAACCCTAAGTACATTGGAGTATGCACATAGAGCAAAGAACATAATGAATAAGCCTGAAGTGAATCAGAAACTCACCAAGAGAGCTCTAATTAAGGTAATTGTGACTTTTCTGTTGAGTACTGCAATCTGATTTGGTAAAAAGTAAGGTACTGAAAATGATCATTGTTACACAAGCTATTAAATTACCTGTGATAAAGCTTTACATCTAGTGACTTAAACTCACCTTATATTTGACAATGTTTTTCTAATGCTAATATATTGTTTACAGTTCTACCAGTAGAGTTAGCTTCATCAAAAACATTTACTTACACATTTATAGAATTTGTACCACTAAGACATAAGTTACATCCTATAACATTCATATATTTTAAGTATATCATTTAGTGGTCTTAGTAAACTTATAGTTTAGGCAACATCACTACAATACAGTTTTAGAAATTTTACTCCTAATCATTCTTTCTTCACTGTAGCTGGACTACCTCAGCTCCTCAAGGGTATATTTTTTTAAAGGAAGGCAGACCAAATGCTTGTTTCATTCCTTCCAACTAGTTCTCAAAGCAGTGTCGTTATAAACTACTTAACATATTTGTATTTCAATCTACTGTAGTTGTTACCCTAAAGATGAACAGTCTCCTCCCTTATGATTTCTGGCCTTTGAAAATCCAGTGGCTTTCAAGCTATGTGCTGGGTTCTTACTCCACAGCAGTGACTTAGATATTGAAATTGCCTTAACACAGGCCTTAGCTGTTGTCATCTCTTCAGCCTTCTGGTTGGTTTCTGGGTTCATTTTACTATCCTTAATAGATTTCCTTAATTTTTTTCCTAACTCATTTGATAAGACATTTCAGGTTTATCTTAATTATTTCCTAATTTAGTCTTAGCATCAGACATTTGTCTAAAGAATCCTAGTTCCTTTTAGTGGGCAATGTTATTTGACGATCTGCCTGATATAAAAAATGGAGTGATAATGTCACTCTTCCTCACTTAGCTGCATGGAGGACATTCCTCTAAGGCTGATTCCTATGTAATGTAGGTCAGAGATCAGATGTACCTCCACTCTGTAACCTTTTTATGAATTGGGACACCAGCTGTCCCTTCTATGGTACTCTACTATGCTGGGTTCAACAATTCATTGTAACAACCAACCAGTTTATTGAGCATACTCATAATCGGAGGCTTAATTAGGAAAGTAATAGGTACAGTTCAGGATCAATTTGTAAGTAACAGGAGCAACTCAGGATACAGTTCTTAAGACACCTTTTTCTTGAGCATGCCCACAGGCAGGCATCTGTCTCCAGGTCCTCACTCTAGGCCTTGGTCCCTGCTTGGGCAAATGTTAACAAAGATCTTTGGCTTCTCACATAGTGCTTAAATGTACTGCACTCTAACAGAAAGCCTCTGAAAGCCTCCTCCATGAAGAGTATCTCATTCTGTGTGTGGAAAGTCCACTGTAGCTACCTCACATTGTAGGCTGGGGAGCCCATTGTACCATCTTTAACTGATCTGATTTCTGCCATCTTGAATCATTGCTGCCTACAGTGTTATAGCTATCCTGTCTCCTGGGTCTAGGATGTTCTCAGCATAGAGACCTTGGGTCCTAAGTGCATGCTCTGCTGTCTCTTCTTGATGAAAGTGAGGTTTACCCCAACCTTGGGGATTCATGTCCTTTATATTTAGCTACAATTTCCTTACCTGAGTGTCATACACCTTGTTTATATTAGCAAAACATTCTAATCTCCTTTAGCCACAAGCAAATGATTTACATAGTCTAGTGACATAGTCCATTGGGAATTGTACTGCTGACTCAATGACTGCATCTCTCTTACAGTGTGAATCCACCAGCTGTTCCATAGGGGAGAGATGGACAATGTCCTTCTATACCTTATACAGCTCGGGCATCCCAGGAGAGAGTTAGCCATGCATCAGTTCTGACTTGCTTGCAGTTAGTTCTGACTTGATTGCAATGAGTTTTGAGACTGTCATTTGAGGAGCCCTGGAAGTTGTATATTGTGTGACATTTTGAACTGCTAACCTTAAATTTAGCAGTTTGAATATACCTACCACTCTGTAGGGAAAAGACACATTTTCCTCTCATAAAGAGTTACAGCCTCAGAAACCCAATAATCGACTGGTGATAGTGCGTTATGCAATCATTTTGTGAGAATTAGAAGACTATGGCTAAATGAGCCACATTAGAGCAATTTACTGCACACGACGACTGGAAGTCGTATTTTTTCCTTAAGACGCTCATATATTTTTTTATAATGACTACATTTAAAGAAGCATTGAAAACTTGAAAAACTTGATATTTAGACAAATTAGTAATTATTTATTGCATTTATATATGCTTTTAAAAACAAAAAAACAAACTTTGTTTTATTTGTGGTATATTTTCTCTAAACTGAGTGAATAAAATGTTGACACTAACACCACTTCTCTCGTGTAGGAGTACACAGAAGAGATCGAGCGCCTGAAACGAGACCTTGCTGCAGCCCGTGAGAAAAATGGAGTTTATATTTCTAATGAAGACTTTAGGTAAGCACTTAGATTCCAACTTTATAGAGTCATTTTCTAAGTCTAGGTCTTCTTTCTTAACACAGTATTTGGGGTTAAATTTACTTATATGCCCATAAATAATTTTTTTTCCTTTTTACTACTGTTTGTTTTAACAAGCAGTTTTCAAACACATTCTAGAACATTTTTATTAGCTTCTTATATTTTAGTAATTGTAGAGCCACATGAAATTGCAGGCAAGAGTACAGAGAGGTTCCATGTATTCTTCACATTTTCCTCTTTGTACTGGTTTTCCAGGTCTGCTATGACAAAACATTTATTGTCTCACACTTTTAGGAGGCTGGGAGTCTGAGATGAGGCTGTTGGCCATAGAGTATTCCCTTCTGAGGCTTTGAGGGAGACCATGCTTCATGCTTCTTTCTTAGCTTCTTGGAAGCTCCAGGCACTTTGGCTTGTAGCTTTAGCATCACTTGGCATCCTGTGTGTTTCTCATCTTCATTTTAAAGACATTAGTCATAGGATTAGGATCCACCTATTTCAGTGTGACATTATTGTAAACTAATAACATGTTCATTTCCAAACAGGGTCACATTCATAGGTATAGGGCTTACAATCCCAGTATATAACTATAGTACAATATCAAACCAGGAAATTACATGTGGTGGTGCGGTAAAAGGGGTGTGTGTGTGTGTGTGTGTGTTTGTATACATGTGTGCACACATGTTCTATGCCAGTTTATCACATTTTTAGGTATGTGTAACCATTGTAACAACCCAAATAAAAGACTGTTCCGTTGCCTCACACTCTCTAGTCACACCTACCTCACTCTCCCTAGCACTTTCTAACCCCTGATAACCATTCATTATTTTAATCTTCTTGAAACCTTGAAATAGTAAGAATAGCAACAATGGCATCAGAGAAAAGGAGAGAATGAACAAAATGAGCATGCTAAGGATTAGAACTTGGAAAATTCTTCATATATTCATTCTGGTGGCTTAGTGTTGAGGAGTTGTGCTTCCTGGTTCCGACATGACAGCGTATAACATAACAACAATTATCCTGGGAGGTATTTGGGAGTATACCCAGGTTGAATTTCCAGGAGAATGCCTCTTTTTAATAGTGATAAACTTATTTATACTTAATTGATAATAATGAGAAGCATTTATTATAATTTTTTACTGAGCTTTTTTGTAAATATTACACCATCACTAATAGTTTGTAAATCATTTAATAAATTAGATTTTTCCATATTCTAAATATCATAATATTCTGTATATCCTTTTTGGATCATAGGCTAATATTAAAAAAATGTTCAAATTTAAATTTCATCAGTATCATAGGCTATTAAAAAGAATGCTTTGATTACTTATATGTGACTTTGTTTAGTGTGAGGAGTTTTGGTAGTGTTACGGTTAAGGCATTTGGTTGCTAAGCATGAGGTGAAGTGTCTGCTTCCGTCAACATTTACAGCTTTGAAAACCCTATAGGGAAATTCTTCTCTGCTCTACAGTATCCCTAACTAACAATCAGTGGGTTTTGTCTGGTTTTGTCTAGTTTTTTTCCCCTCCTCCTTTTTGTGTATGGTCGAATTGGACCCAACTGGCACAGGAAAAGATTGCTGCTTCTCCTCTAGCAGATCATGTGGTGGATTTGAACTGCATGCCTTCAAGATTGCAATGCAGCTTCTTGCCACTAGGCCACCAGAGGGCCCTTTGTCTAGTGTTTTGATAGCTCATGTCTAATATACAATTTGCTTTTTTTAATAAAGAATGATTTTGTAAACTTACATTTTAATTGTTAAATAACAAACATCGATATTGAGACTTTGTCTCATATACTTTGGACATATTTGTCTCGTGTACATGTGGACTTCTCCAGGGATCAGTCCCTGGAGGAGGATGTCATGTGTGATAAAATGGAAGGTCAGCCAAAAAGAGGTTTACTCTTAATAAGGTGGATGGACACAATGTCTAAACAGTGGGCTCAAATATTGCAGTACTTGTGTGGTTGATGAAAGACTGGGTAGTATTTTGTTCTGTTGCTGCTATGATTTAGGACCAATTTGATAGCATCAAACAAGTCAAACACATGTAAAATAGCAGAGAACTTCACAGGCCTCACGGATCTGGAAGGAGAGAACATGCTAACACTGTATATATTCATTGAGACACCAATGACTAAATGACCCTTGACCTTCAACTCTGATGCTTGAAGTTTGGAGTTTTCTTTTGGACTTTTCAAGTGACCAGACCACATACAAGAGAGTAATCCTATGACTTGACCTTCCAAACTTACCTGATGTACTTCCTTGTTTTTGTTCTTTTTCTGGTTGTAATAAATGGGTAACTCTGAGTGTAAATAGTCTCTGAGTTTTGTGAGTCATTCTAGTGAATTTTAGAACCTACTGGGGCAGTAAGCTATTTGAGATGTCAGCTTTTGCCTATTTGTCAACGACTGAAGGACAGCCTTCTGATATGTGGCAGTTAGTGTTACAGTCAAAGAGGCAGCTGCATGAAAGTGACTGATGTTAGGATGATGAGGTGGGAAAGTGGGGATATGAGTTATCTTCACATTTTAGAAATTAGCCTCATGTTGGCTATAATTCCCTCTGTGTGATGGGAGGAAACAGTTTGTACTTGTCTGCTCTCTACATACTTTAATCGTGCTCTCGGTTTTAACTCCTTATCTTACTTGTAATCTCTGATGGTTTCAAATCTCAGGACTTCCATGGTTCTGGGGGAGGGGCCCCATATTGACCCTTCGTATCCCTGATTACACTTAGGTTATTAAATCTATACAAATACATTCTTTTTCTCACCGTTAGGTATGGATTCCCAGTTTCAGAATGGTCTCAGAAGGAAAATACTCTGTATCTAAAACAAAGACAAAGAATACTTTCATGCTTTGCAATTTATATTTATAGCTTGTGGATACTTAGGTGTCATTATGATAATGATACAGGTTATGGGTTTATGTAACTGCTATAATTGTGATAGAATAAATTTTATAGATGTTCTGGGGAAAATACTAACTTTCAAATTCTTATGAAAATTTATTTTAGAGCCATGAGTGGAAAACTAACTGTTCAAGAAGAACAGATCGTAGAATTGAATGACAAAATTGGTGCTCTTGAGGAGGAGCTAAGTAAGGTAAGCATTGAAAACAAAGCAGAAAATCTTATTGCCATCATGTTAAAGGTAAAGCTTACCAATTGTGACATTTTTATTAGTGCTTCATGGCAGAAAATTAAATTGTGTGATTTTGTTGTTAAAGCTACAAAAGCAATGGTGATTAATTTTATAAAACACAGTGTATGTTCATATGAAACACACTGAACGAAGGAATGTGTGAAACACAATGTATACAAATTTTGTATGCAAACCAGTATAAAATTTTTTTTAAAGTGGGGGCTAGGGAACTCTGGTGACCTAGTGGCAAGAAGCTGCTCTGCAATCCTAGAGGTACTCAGTTTGAATCCACTAGATGCTCTGCTGGAGAAAGAGGGGCACTATCCTCCTGTACCAGTCAGATTTGATTTGATGGTACACACACAAAATAATAAAATTATTTAAAAAAAAGTGAATGCTGAAACATTTCACCAACATGTTTATCAGATGAGGTAATCTGATGTTGTTGTTGTTATGTGCCGTCGAGTCGTTTCCGACTCATAGCGACCCTATGCACAACAGCCCTAAACCCTGCTCTATCCTGCGCCAACCGCACTGCCTCTGACACACCCATCCCGATTACCCCAGTCACTGAATCGATCCATCTCATAGAGGGTCTTCCCCTCCTGCGCCGTCCCTCCACCCTCCCAAGCGTGATGTCCCTCTCCAAGGACCCGTCCCTCCTGGCGACATGTCCAAAGTATGTCAGACGAAGCCCCAGAATCCTTGCCTCCAAGGAGTAGCTTGGTTTAATCCTTTCCAAGATGAATCTGTTTGTTTTCCTGGCAGTCCATGGTACATTCAGTACCCTTCTCCAGCACCACAGCTCAAAAGCATCCACTCTCCTTCTGTCCTCCCTAGTCATTGTCCAACTCTCTGATGCATAACAAGCGATTGCAAAGACCATGGCCTGTATCAGGCGCACCTTAGTCTCCAGAGAGACACTGTTGCTCCTGAGTACGTTTGAGAGGTCCCTAACGGCAGACTTTCCCATCGCGATATGCTTTTTGATTTCCTGACTGCTGGTGCCAAGAGCGTTGACTGTGGAGCCGAGCAAACTGAAGCTGTGAACACTCTCAATCTCTTCGTCATCCATCCTGACGCTGCCAATTGGTCCAGTGGTGAGAATCTTTGTCTTCTTGACATTGAGCCTTAGTCCATACTGAAGGCTGCAGTCCTTGACCCTTCACAGCAAGTGCATGAGGTCCTCCTCAGTTTCAGCAAGCAGGGTTGTGTCATCTGCATAACGCAGATTGTTAATAGATCTTCCACCAATCCTGATGCCACAATTCTCCTCATAGAGCCCAGCTTCTCGGATAATCTGCTCTGCATACATGTTGAAAAGGTATGGAGACAAGATGCATCCCTGGCGTACACCCTTCCCAATTTTGAACCATGCAGTGTTACCCTGCTCTGTTCTGACTATTGCCTCTTGATCCAAGTACAGGTTTCGCATTAGCACAATTAAATGTTCTGGGATTCCCATTCTTCTCAGAGTCAGCCACAGTTTGTTATGATCCACGCAGTCAAATGCCTTTGCATAATGATTATTCAATCTGATGTAGTCATTAAATAAACTGGGAGCTCTGGTGGCTTAGTAGTGAGAATCTGCACTGCAATCCCAAAGACATGTAGTTTGAATCCAGCAGCTGCTCTCTGGGTGAAAGATAGACAGTAAATCACACAAGAGGGGACTGCCTCTGAAAACCCACTGGACGCTCAGCATTTGGTACTAACTAGTCTGCATACAACAAGTAAATTGGAGAGGTTGGTCTGACCCTTGTCAGGGTTACCACCTTCACATTTCCACCTTTATATTAAATTCATTGACACTGTTGGAGAAAATCTGAAGAATCCATTTCGCTACAATAGGCTTGTTTTTTAATCTCAATCTTCAGTGAATTTACAGGAAGAAATCAGGTATTATATGAAATAAGTGATTTATACCCGGTAACTTGTTATAATTTTATAACATTTCAGTGTTATATAATTTCATGTTTTATAAGCATGAAAATATTTTGTTTTCTAATACTCTATTATGAACTAGCCAGTTGTCTCTGAAACTAGTTGAACATTCATGCTTTTTTAAAAAAACTGTTCAATGTCTTATTTTAGGTTACAGAGTTGTTTGTGGATAATAAGAATGAACTTGACCAGTGTAAATATGAACTGCAAAATAAAACACAAAAGCTTAAAGTCACGGAAAAAAATTTACAGGCAACTAAAATTCAGCTTGTGAAAGAAGAATACATAACATCAGTTTTGGAAAATACTGAGGAGAAACTTCATGACGCTGCCAGCCAGGTTGGTCCTTTGTTGTTGTGAGGTAACAACGGCTGTGGAGAACTGGGTGAAGTAAAAAATATTTGTTATCACCTCTCAGGCAGGTTCTGCACCCCTAGGCCAGAGGAAGGCAGTGGGAATGGGAAGTTGCATATGGGGTAGCTATCACAAAAGTTTTATATGCTGGAGGTTGGAGGGAGGGCAGTCGGTCCAGTGGTCAGCTCTCCGTGGAGGATGCTGATTGGATGCCCTCTGCCTATTCCCATATATGGAGCTATCCAGGACCCTCAGGTGGGTTGCATCATAGCAGATGTTAGGTAGGATGTGTCTGGTAGTCATGCTCTCTTCTGATTGGCTGTAGCCATCTCACGCCAGGCTAACTGAAATGTCTCTCACAAGGTACACCAGCATGGAATGTTGCCCAGCTCCCAGGTGGCCTTTTATTCCAGCCTTTTTTGGTTATATAGGGGTGACATAGTCTTTCTAGCTACTTCCTGTTGTGGCAAATGGGGCTGGCTGGTGCAGTGGGAAGAGGTTCACTTGGGAGCTGGGAGTAAGGGTGAAGCAGCATTTGATTTACTGTGACACAAGAGATTTCTTGAATTCGGTCTGCAAAAACTTAAAAAAACAAGGAGCAACCATTAATGCTGAACACACTATTAGAGAATTTGGGCCAGCCGAGTAAAGAGTGGAGTCTGCCACCATCCTAGTTGTGAGCTGCCTGGGTTTCCCCTGTTTCTTATGTTATCTCTGAGTTTGTGTAAGTTTATCTAGATTTTCTTCTACTACCTCACTTTCATTGATATAATAACATTGTTCACTAAGAAAAAGACAGGTGCTACCTTTATCAGCTGTGAGCAAGTCTGCTTAGTAATGCTACCTGGGCAAGGGAGGTGATTTGCCTTGTCGTTCTAAATTTGCTGAAGTTACTAGGGAGTGTCTAGGCCACAACTGCCTACGCTTACTGTGACAAATGAGGATGCTAAGAGTCCTACTAGGGCGGGAAGAAAGACTGCCTGTCTGGACCGGTATGAGTGAGGAGGGATAAGAAGAAGAGCAAGGTCCTCCTGCATATACATCATGAGTTGAAGTGCTCGCATGGCTGGGACGCAGAGGAAAGGAGATGAAGTGTCAATTTGTAAAGAGTTGAGTTGCACCAAAAGAATCCTCCAGGAGGGGCATATAGAGTGCTAGACATGACGGTAGTGGCATTACACTTAGCTGAAGGAGAGGAAGAGCTATAATAGCAAAATAACTAGTATATGTATTAGGTTGGAACTGAGAAATAGAGGGTGTAGGGTTTCCTGGAGTATAGGTTAAACTGAGATTGAAGGCCGAGGAAAGAACAACTGCTAGAAGTGGGGAGCGATCCAGGAAGGTGCAAAGAAAGCAGTCAGAGATGTCTCCAACTTCAGTCTGATTAAGCAGCCAGGCTCCCTGGCAAATTAGAGGCAACCAGGAAAAGGAATGTATTGGGTGAGAAGGTAAAACTGAATTTAAAAATGATTCTTGAGTGATGTTTGACAGGTCAGCTAAATGTTCAGTTTCTGGGACTATGTGAGTGTAGACTCGGAAAACTTTTAATGAGGCTGCTGAATTTGGGTTTCTGTAAGTATAATTTGGCATCAACGCCCTTAGCCTATCGATGAAGGCAAAAGGAGAGCATTTAGCAACTTAGAGATGAAGGTAGCATTAAGAACAGGTGAACTTGTTGGTAAGGAATCCCAGTTCTTTCTATAATGCAGCCTGGCAGTGAGCAATAAGGAAGGCATATTTAGAATCAGTATAGATGGTCCCTCGCTTCCCTTTGGCTAAAATTAGGGCTCTGGTAAGAGAGACTAGTTTAGCCTTTTGTGAGGAAGTGCCTTCAGGCAGGCAATTAGCCCCTAAGGTTTTTTGGTTAGTTTCTACTTTGTGGCAGCCAGGGCTGAACTGCTGACAACAAACAGAATAAGGTCGGGGTCCGATAAGGGAATGTCCATCAGGCCGTACCTGGGTGAAGACAGATTACGAGCACTTCTCCCATAAAGAAATGAGAGAATAAAAATATCTTTCTTTGCTTATGCATTAATTATTGTTAGATGCTGTTGAGTTGTCTCTGATTCATAGTAACCCTGTGATCAAGAGAACAAAGCTTTGCTCAGTCCTGCACCATCCTTACCATCTCCTATGCTTAAGCCAACCATTTCAGGCACTTTATTAACATATCTCATTGAGAGTCTTTTTCACTAACCCTCTACTTTTCAAAGCCTCATTATCTTTTTTGTACTGGCTCTTTTTGATAATGTTGTTGTTGTCACAGGATGTACAGGCTAGATTTAGAAGAGGCCGTGGTACCAAGGATATTATAGCTAAGTCAGGTGCATCTTGGCTGAAAGCAGAGAGTACCAGAGGAATGTCTATCTGTATTTCTTTGACTGTGCAAAGACATTTGACTGTGTGGATCACAACAAACTGTGGCTGACTCTGAGAAGAATGGGAATCCTAGAACACTTGATTGTGCTTATGCAAAACCTGTACTTGGACCAGGAGGCAGTCGTAACAACAGAGCAAGGAAACACCACATGGTTCTATATTGGGAAGGGTGTCCACCAGTGATGCATCCTATCTCCATACCTTTTTAATCTGTATGTAGAATAGATCATCCAGGAGACTGGGCTCTATGAAGAGGAATGTGGCATCAGGATTAGAGGTAGACTCATCAATAACCTGCATTATGTAGATAACATAACCTTGCTTGCCAAAACTGAGGAGGGCTTGAGGCATTTGCTGCAGAAGGTCAAGGACTGCAGCCTTCAGTATGTATTGAAGCTCAACATCTGGAAAACAAAGATTTTCACCATTGGACAGACTGGCAGCATCATGATATACGGTGAAGAGTTTGAATAGTGAACAGTTTGCTTGGCTCCACAATCAACATTCTTGGTGCTAGAAGCCAGGAAATGAAAAGACAAATTGCACTGGGAAAATCTGCTGTAAAGGACATCTCCAGAGAACTCTTGCTAATATGCCCAAAATATATGAGTCCACCATTCTGGCTTTTAACAAGTACTTTAACTGCATTTCTTCTTACACAAGTTTGTTCTTTTAGGGTGCTAGGATGTATATTCAGTATTCTTTGCCAGTTTAGAATTCAGACATCAATGCTTTAATTGTATAATTTCTACACATATATGAGGTGATTGAAAATACCATGACTTGTGGAACAGTGAACGAACACTAAATTTTAAAAAAGTGAACTAGGGGAAGGGAAAAGGAGGGAGGGGGTAAAAAGGACAACAGTGAATGAATTAAAAAAAAACAACAACCCAAAAACCATGATTTGAATCATGTGCACTTTAGTCCAAGGTATTAATTAGGGACCTATTTATCTACCCAAATGATATTTCAGTCAATTACAAAGAAACCACTGTTTCATTTAAATTTTCCTCACTGGAAATATTGATTTTAAAAAAGAAGGAATGAAATTTCACATTATTTTTTGGAAGTTTTAAAAATGGGACATGACTTTCTTTTGTGAGAACCTTTAAAATAATGGTGTTGTAATACTTTCCCCGTATGATAATGATGGTCATTACAAAAACAGGAGAAAGAAAAGACCAAAATGGATGTCACAATAGACTGAAAATTGCACTAGAGCATCAAGAAGCCAAAATAAAGGGAAGAGATGCCAAAGTGAAAAAGATAAATGGAAGATTTTAAAGAGCAGTTCGAAATGAAAAAGCAAAGTATTACAATAGATTGTGCAAAGAGCAGGAATTGGAGAATAAAAAGAGAAAAACTCGCTAGACATTGAGGTTGAAAGAACTGAAAAACAAGTTCAGGCCTTTGGCTGCAATACTACTATGGGCAAAATTTTGAATAGTCCAGAAACTTTCAAAAGAAGATGGCGGGAATATACAGAGCACTGTATAACTAAAAGAATTGATGGACACCAGAATATTTCAGAAAGTAACATATGATCAAGAGCAAATGGTGATGAGGGAAGAAGTCCAACGTGCATTGAAGTCAGTGGCAAAAAAAATAAGGCCCTACGAATTGATAGGATACCAACTCACATGTTTCAAATGACAGAGGCAACCCTAGACGTGCTCACTAATCTGTGCCAGGAAATTTGAAAGACAGCTACCTGGCCAACTAACCAGAAGATATTCCTATTTGTTCCCATTCTGAAAAGAAGACAATCCAAAAAAAATGTGGAAATTATCAAATAAAATCATTAATTCTAGCAAAATACTACTGAAGATCACTCAAAACCAGCTAGAACAACGCAGAGAGAACTGGCAGAAGTTAAGTTGGGTTTAAAAGAGGTCATGGCACCAAGGGATAGCATTGCTGATGTCAGATGGATCTTGACTGACAGCAGAGGATACAAGAAAAAGAACTATTTGTGTTTTATTGTCTTTGCCAGGGCATTTGACTCTGTGGATCATAACAAATGATGGCTAACATTGAGACAGGAAATTGCAGAGCACTTAATTATACAAAACCTGTACCTTGGTCCAGAAGCTGTTGTCAGAGCAGAATAAGGACACACTGCATAGTTTAAAATCAAGAAAGGCAGGTGTCAGGGTTGTATCTTTCTTTATGCTGAGCAAATAATTTGACAAGCTGGACTTTATGAAGAATGTGGTGTCAGAATTGGTTGAAGACTCATCAACAACCTTTGTTATGTAGATGATACAACCTTACTTGATGAAAATGAGGAGGACTTGAAACACTTGTTACAGAAGATCAAAAACTATAGGCTTATGATAAATAAATGTAATATAGATTACATCTCAACATCAAGAAACAAAGATCCTCACCAGTAACGGATAGGCAATATCATTATAGATGGAGGGAAGATTGAAGTTGTCAGTGATTTCATCTTACTTGGATCCACAGTCAATACCATTGGTGCCAAAAAAAAAAATACCATTGGTGCCAGCAGTCAAAAAATAAATAAATAAAACCCAAATTGCACTGGGGAAGTCTGCTGTTAGGGTTATTTCCAAGGTGCTGGAGAGCAGTAATGTCAGCTTAAAGACTAAGGTGTGCTTGATTAAAGCCAGGATCTTTTCACTCACCTACAATGCATCTGATAGTGGTTTCAGATCACTTCTCAGTCACTTGTCATGCATCAGAGAGCTGGACAATGACCAAGGAGGATAGAAGGAGAATTGATGCCTTTGAGCTGTGGTGCTGGAGAAGAGTATTGAGAATACCATGGACTGCTAGGAAAACAAACAGATTTGTCCTGGAAAGGGTTAAACCGGGTGGCTCCTTGGAGGCAAGGATTCTGAGGCTCCGTCTAACATACTTTGGACATGTTGTGAGGAAAGACCGGTCCTTGGAGAGGGACATCATGCTTGGGAGGGTGGAGGGATAGCGCAGGAGGGGACGGCCCTCTATGAGGTGGATTGATTCGGTGACTGGGATAATCAGGATGGGAGTGTCAGAGACAGGGCACAGGACAGAGCAGGGTTTAGGGCTGTTGTACATAGGGTCACTATGAGTCGCAAGCGACTCGATGGCACATAACAACAACAAACAATGCATCTGAGAGCTGAACAGTGCAAAAGGATGGATAACAGAAGAAAGATCAATGTCTTTTGAGTTATAGTGCTGAAGAAGAATTCTGAGTATCCTTTGACCTGCTAAAAGAACAGACACATATGTCTTGGAAAAAGTGCACTCAGATTGCTCCTTGGAGGCAAAGATGGTGAAGCTTTCTCTCACATACTTTGGGCATGTTGTTAGGAGAGGCAATTCTTTGGAAATGCACATCATGCTCGATAAGGTAGAGGATCAATGGGATGGACTGACACAGTGGCTGTAGTAATGGGATCTAGACCTGGGAGAGTACAAGCTTCAGGTTCTATTGTTCATAGGGTAGTTAGGAGTCATACATGACTCAATAGCACTTAGCAACAATTAGATATTGTAAGGTGGTGCTTCCCTGGAAGTTCAAATCTGTGCCGGTAGCTCTGAGGGAGAGACATGTGCCGTCTTCTCCCCTCTATGGATAGCCTCGGAAAACCCATTAGAGGGTTAGCTGAGTGCGTTCCGATATCAGCGTACTTTAGAAAATAGTAAAATACTAAAAAAGCTTTTGAAGAAGTGTAAAACCCCCTTTTGCTACTGTGAAAAAAAGTTCTTACAGTATTCCTACAGTAATTTGGTAAAATCCATTTTGCTTGCCTAGATAAATAGGGCAGGACTCCTGGAGGTATAGTGCTTAACGTGTCATGCTGCCATCCACAAGGTTGGGTTGAATCCACCAGGCAGTCTGTTGGAGAAAGATGGGCAGTCTCCTCCTGTAAAGATTCACCCCATGGAGAGTTGCTGTGGGTCAGAATTGACTTGTTGGCAGTGAGTTTGTTTTATGCTCGGTGAGGGGAAATAGCATTCTTGAACAAAACTGGATAAATTAATGTGAGATTAAGAATTTCTAGTGATACAATGCCTGAAACTTAGTAGTTCTCATCAGGAGAAATCCTATGTAGCACATAAATTTTCATGAGGATGCTTTTGTCTTATATATTCATCTTGCCAATATTATTTTTAAAATCCTATATAGTTGCTTAATACAGTTGAAGAAACTACAAAAGATGTATCTGGTCTGCATTCCAAACTGGATCGGAAGAAGGCAGTTGATGAACACAATGCAGAAGCTCAGGGTACTTTTGGCAAAAACCTGAGTAGTCTGTTTAATAATATGGAAGACTTAATTAAGGATGGCAGCTTAAAACAAAAGAACATGCTAGAAGTTCACAAGACATTGTTTGGTAAGGTCACTCATTTCTAATTATAAAAAATAAAAAATTTAGGTGATAGTGTCGTTACTTTCTTCCCAATGCACATACCATTTGTTCAGACTAATGATTAATTCTTTCACTGACTATGAATTAAAACAAAGCTTATTTGCTCTAGCTTTTTGTTGTTGAATTATGCATTTGTTGAGACTAGATGCTAATTCTTTTAGTGACTAAATTAAAACAAACCATAGGGGGTTTTGTAGTTGTTGAATTACGCTAATTAAAAGGGAACTCTGGAGGCTTAATCTGTAGGGAGTTGCATTTGGAACCTAAATGTGGGGTGACTTACTGGTGGTACAAATCCACCAATGACTCCTTTGGAGAAAAATGAGCCATCTCCTATGGATTTATAGCCTCTGATGACCTATTGGAGGGTCTTAAGTCAGTTTTGATTCTACCATAAGGAATTAAGCTCAGTTGATTAAACACCAAGTTGTTAATTCAACAGCAATTATGTATATAGATTTCAGAAGTAAAGCTGTCTTATCCCTGAGTTTGGCTGATTGCACTGTTAAGTTTCTTGAACTTACTTCTAGAAATTTTCTGTGAATAAGCTTTTATAACTGTTTTTAAAATAATACATATCTTGAAAGTTTTTCTATTTTGTCACAAGTTTGCATATTATTTTCAGCATTTTATTGTTTTTCTCCCTTTAGAATGAAAACTCTTAAATACTAAGTCACTTGTGAAAATATCTTCTTTTAGAAAATGGGAAAATTCTAGAAAGAAAAAAACTTTAAAATCACCTAGTCTTGTCATACCAGTAATCCATTTTGTGTATAGCTCTTTTTTCCTATAAACTTTTACCTTCTGTAATACTGTTTGTTTTACTTAGAGGTTAATTTGAAAATATTCTAGTCTTGGTTTACTATATAAGTCAGATACTCTTACAGTTATGTCAAGTGTTTATAGAATAATACATAAAGATATTTCCTTGCATATTTAATGAAAGTTATTTTAATTTTATTTGATAATATAGATCTAAAAAGGATATTATTTTGCCAGTCTCTTTGAAGTGACTCAGACCATTAAATGTTTTCAAAGTTTGTATCTTTTTTTTTTTAAATAGGAAATCTACTTTCTTCGAGTGCTTCTGCATTAGACACCATTTCAATGACAGCACTTGGATCTCTTTCGTCTATTCCAGAAATTGTGTCTACTCGTGCTTCTCACATTTCTAATATGATATCAAAAGAAGAATCAGTCGCAACTGAAAGTAAAATTATGCTTCAGAAATTGATTGTTAGTAAATCTCTCGAAAAATTTTTCAAGATCATATTTGATAAATTTTCAGTAAAAGCATGTTAACTGCTCTTCGATCTTAAGCTTTACAACACAGAAGAAAATATACTATTATGAGACAGTATGCTTATCATTCTCTAGACTAATCTCTCAAGTATATATTTTCCCTAGAAAGAGTAATATTGAAATGTGTATAACCTTTCTTTGAAACCTTTTTTACTCACATAGTGTAACATTTTCTGTAGGATTTATCATTATGACTTTTAGAGACTAGAAGAGGCAGTGCAAGCTCCAGATGAATTAAAGATGGGGCCAGTCCTTGGAAAAAGACATCTTATGGAAAAGGTGGAAGGTCAGCAAAGGAGGGGAAGATCTGCCCATAAAGAAATGAACTGACACAGTGACTGTAGTTTGGGTTGAAGCACAGATAGTGAGGATGGTGTAGCTAGGGCTGGGCTTTGATCAGCTGTTCATGAGTTGAAATTAACTCAGTAGCCCCTAACAACAACATGGATTTGTCAGTTCTCTCCGAAATTGGTAAATCATCCTTTCCTCAAAGGGATAATCATGCTAATGTTACAGCAGCTCTGTGAGAAGAAAGTATTGGGTAGTTACTTTAAAAAATATAATTATTTAGGTGAGCTCTGGTGGCCTAGTGGCAAGAAGCTGCAACTGCAATCTCAGAGATGCCCGGTTCGAATCCACCAGATGCTCTGCTGGAGAAGGAGGAACATCTCCTCCTGTACCAGTCAGATCTGATTTGACAGTACACACAAAACATAATGA